CGGCCTGGTGCAGCACACTCAGTTGTCTGGAAACATCAAAACCGAGAGATTCAGCTGGGTTTCGAGTGAGTATCCGGAAGAACCAAATTAGTTTGCAAATGATTGTATATTCGCTAATTTCGTGCAATTTGGTTTCAAGTGGGACATAAGGCTGACGAAAACCCGGGGAGTGCGCCTACCTGATGAGCTCCAAGAAGGGCGAGACCGGTCGTGGGCTGTCGACGGATTTTCAGCAACCTTATGAGTGGTATATCACAAAGATATACTGAGGTGAAGTTGCAGAATATTCGGCGATAACCCCATAGATGCAATTGTGATAATCTTCCTTTGTTTCCATAAACGAATATATCAAGTTACCATGCCTTTTGATCTATCATAATGAGCGGAGCAGGAGGCTAAGGACCGACACAGAAGTTGCATTGCCGTCAGGAAGACACATCACTCGATACACCTGTCGTATCGTCAACGATGTAAAACTTGACCTGCTCCTCTCAAGATGACTGAGACTAGGTATCACCATGTAGGTCCACGTTGTTCACACAAATGCTACTGAACCGAGCATTAGCCGGTGTGTAAATCTAGTTCGCAGTTGATTGCCTTCCTCCTGCTCTTTCATTCTCTTATCTGAGGAACCCAGATGTTTCCTCTCTTCCTTTTACAAGCATTTCCCATCCCTGACCGCTTATTACAGATCGCACGAGCCCTCCCATCTAATTCCCACAAGACCTATCATTACTGACGTCCACACACGGGCTGGACGCGGTACCCGGAATGGGGAATGTAACAGCTGTCTGGACAACATACGGTCGATTTCGGTTTGCTTCACGCCAATAATGTTTGACGACTGTCTCCAAACCCCACCCACCCGTTACTGACCTACAGGACCATTCACAACTTGAAATTTAAATTCGGTTCGAGGAACGAGTTCAGTTCAGCTTGAATTCAGCTTAAAACTGAACTTTAAGCCCAGTTACGAGGTTTCAGTTCGTTCTCTGGTTCAACTGCGCATTCTGCTCAAACCTCCATTAGAGAAAATACGATGATCATGCTTTGTCCAAGGCCTATAGTCGCCCAATTTATAACTGACTGACAACGGTGCAGCTGACTATTACAAGAAGGTGTCTGCGTTGGACAGTATGTGGAAGAATGCCACAAGGACCGAAAGATAGGCTTGCTCGCAGTATCTGAAACTATGAAAGGACTGTAAACCAGAACATCCTGCGTTAGATCCAACCGTATGGAGTCATATTTACAACGCCATCATAGGAAGACCTGGATTAAGGATATCTTCACAAACTTATCATAGAACCTAAGAAACCATTGTGTGCGGGCTTGCTGGAAGCACGCGACTTGTCATGAAGTCTTCAGAACATTTTTCAATCGCCTTGTTGAAATCGCATCAATTTACACCTCGTTTTGGGGATGAACCTCGGGTTGTAAGGGTTCTGGCCCCCGATTAAGTCTGATCCGCCGTTCCATTTTTGGTTTGGTAGCAGTTAGTGAACTTATCTAGCTGAGTTTATGCTCGTCATAAGGGCAACTACTCGCATGGTTGCCGAAAACCCTTCGACAGCCCACGGCCGGTTTCACCCTTCTTCGGGCTCATCAGGTAGGCGCAGCCCCCGAACTTCCGTCAACCTTATGTTCTACTTGAACCCAAATTGGACACATCTCGACAAATATCAACTGCATATCACCTGGGTCTTCACGGGAGACTCCACGGAATCTCTCGTTTATGCTATCTCGAACATCGCACAACTGAAACAGAGGCGGCCTTGGTGTAGCACATCCAGTTGAAGAATATCATAAACGAGGGATTCCGTTGATTCAGTGCATACTTCTGACAACGTGGACAATTGAATCGCATCGTCCGATCATAGCCCAGGCGTTTCTGAAACAGTAGGAAGCTGATTTCACGAAATAAATCGCGAAATGGGATGGGGGACATCATGAAGTCCCGTCATTTAGAAATCGTATCTCTGGAATCCCATGCCCGTGGAAGAGTGAATGCACTACTACTGGCCAGATACTGTTCCGCACGGGAAGCTAACGGGCCTTGATTAGTTTCTGGGGTATGGCACCATGGCTTCGGAACATCATGTCAACCCTTAGTCATGCAATTGCGTCTGTCGTGAACTGACTCAACATCCTTGGTCAGTCATTGAGATTCAACCGTATGCTGCCTGAAGGCGACAGAAATCTCCCCAAAATCTTTTGCTTTTGGATAGGGGATTATAAGTTGCTCCTCGAAAAACGAAAGTGTGGAGAGTGCTACGTGATCCATGGTTCATACCCCTGGGTCAACAGCTGCGTCTAAAGAGGACGGTAGCTTTGGAGAGCCGAGGAGAAATAGGGAATGGAGAAACTCACCAGAGAGCAAGAGGTCGACCGGATAATTCGTACACGCGCTCCAATGAGGTTCATTCTTAAAATACTCTCCAGTTGATTTGTTGAGGAGTTATTTCTGGACTGGGCGGATTCAAATATACTCCAGTTAATCACAGTTTTCGCATATCCTAACCACAACTGATGCAGTTGGGTAGGCAGACTGCTGGGAACGACTAAAGATGCAGGATCGGGTTTCATCACACCGGTCAAGCGTCGTTTCGAGGGTTTGATCAATTTTGGCACGGGACCGGTGGCACTATCAGAACTGGTAACGCAGCGCTTCTGTCGAACGCGGCGAGTAGACTGTGGTACAAGGTTCAGATTGTAGGTAGCTCCAGCCAGTCCAGGTCGCAGTGGAAGGTCGGATTGAGCACGTTGTTCTGGTGCAACATGACGTCTGACAAATTGACGTACGAATTCACTGGTTGCAAGCATACTGGATGGAGAGGAAAACTGGTTTTCAGTAGACTTTCCTCCACCAGAAGAACGTTTTTGACTGACAGACATGTGCTGAAATGAAGCAAGAATAGTTGGTGAATTAAAATAGAATACGCCAAATATCAGCAGGTCATTCGACCGCACCCCCTGGTCCAAAAGGGCATTGTGCCCGTTGTTGAAGAGACTGTAAAATGTAGCATTCTTCCCTCCAGAATAACTCCCAAAATAGAAACACCTCCATTCAGGAAGCTACTTTGAAGGTATCATTCCATCGTACTCCCACTGCGCACCCAGAACCGAAGAGGTTGCCCAAATGTTCTATACACCCTCAAGGAGACGCCACAAAGGGAATCTCTCATGACATTGGATTATTCCAGTGGACTAGCACTCAAAATATCTCACGGCATAACAGCAGCTGGGGGCGAGATGGCACAAGTGGTTAGAGCGCGAATTTACTGACCAGAAGGTCCGTGGTTCGAACCAGACATCTGCCTCTCGACTTCCCCTGTCTAGGTTTGGGCGACCTGGCAGCTAGGCACCGAAAGGGTGCTGAATGGTACAAAACTAATTTTATTCCTAACCTCCCTTCAACAACATTTGGCTTGAATTAACTGATGATTTAGCCTGCGATACGCATACAGTACTTGTAAGAACACGGCACAGCTTCAGGACTAACAGCATTCCTCGAGCTCCCGACAACAGCCAGAGTATAAGAACACGTCCTCTTATCGTATGCAATGTTCAGTTCAATCACAGGAGAAAGGCATCAGCGAATATAAACTCATTTGCAAACTAATTTGTTTTTGGAGAAGGTTGACGGAAACCCAGGGACTGAGCCTACCTGATGAGCCCCAAAAAGGGCGAAACCGGTCGTGGGCTGTCGATGGATTTTCAGCAACCTTATGAGTAGTACATTACAGAGAAAGACATCAGTTTGTCCGTGATCTGGAGGACGGAGACTGACGACTACTAAACTGATTGATCATATGGCGCGAATTGGTGCACGCGCTTCATGAAGGTAGGCGCAGTCCCCGGGTTTCCGTCAACCTTATGTTCTACTTGAAACCAAATTGCACGAAATTAGCGAATATACACTCATTTGCAAACGAATTTGGTTATTTCGAGAGACTCACCTGGAACCCAACTGAATCTGAATACCTGATGGGCCCCAGAAAGGGCGAAACCGGTTGTGGGCTGTCGATGGATTTTCAGCAACCTTATGAGTAGTACATTACAGAGAAAGACATCAGTTTGTCCGTGATCTGGAGGACGGAGACTGACGACTACTAAACTGATTGATCATATGGCGCGAATTGGTGCACGCGCTTCATGAAGCTTCATATACTCATTAAAGCTGTTGACAAACACTCAACTACGAATGGAACTTCGTCACCGCATTTCAAACAGCATGCGATGGGGTTTATGCTGGTCGTCCTTCCACGAGAAACGTCCAAGAAACATCTGAGAATCCCAGAAAAGTAGTTTGTTCGGAACAGAAAGTTTTCTATTTTCTTTAGGGTATCCTTTTGAGGGTTGGATAACATGCACAGGAAAAATAGAAATTCCGTTGCATCCAAGTGTCCTCAGCAGCCTCTTTGAGTGCCACATTGGGTACTTTGCTATGTTTGAAACGAATGCAACAAACAAACGATGGTCCTTTATGTCCGTAATAGAAGCGCATCGATACGATGTACTGATCACTGGAGATGGGAAGTTTTCTTGCCATCTAGTCGAATTCTAGTGAAGTTCCTAGAACCGGAAAATTTAGTAAGAATATGTGGTACATAGTAGGAAGTCGAAGACGGTTGTAAACACTGAAAGGTTCACTAAAATTCGTTTTATCGCTTCATGGACCGCGATAACGGATAGAGCCGACTCTACAGCAAAGTCCACTCCAGAACAGCGAAAGAGAGTAGCACAAACTGCTTCACAACACGGCCATTTGGCGCATCTGGATCGATGGCACAGGGCATTCCGATTGGGCTATAATTTATGGGGAGTAGCTAAGCCAATCAGGGGAAAAGTCGCTTCTTTGATTCTCCAAGGGAGATTCACTAAAACTGCTCCGTCCGAAATGAACACGGCAACCACGGTTCGAATCGGCCAGACAGAAACGAGACTACACGGTACATCCGAACGAAATCAGTCCAACGAAGTGAAGGGTGAATAAAGCGATTGCCTTTCAAATGCATTCAGGACACAAGCAAGAAAATGGAGCGTGTTGAGAACAGACACATGTTTATTCGGTGGCCTTAAATTCAGACAAAAGCTGGACAATGAGGAAAAATACGAAAGCTGGGGAGTGAATTGATCGCAATCGATTTCCACTAAAGCAATTGCCCAACTTAAGGACGATCAACACTCGGTGTATACTGGTTGTACTGGTTAGAACTATCGTTGTTCTGCTCTGCAGACCCCAACCGAAGTGGTCTCTTATGATGGGATGAGTGTAGTCAGGACAATAAGTTTCAGTAAAAATGCAGTTACGGAAAAAATATGGTAGTTAACACGTTAGCACTGACAGTTCGATGCCTAAATACGAAAAAGGTGAGGTAATGCTCACCAGAATAAAAACATCCCTCGCCATTAGACAAAAAGCATTCATCGATAGACCTCTATCCTTTCTATCCACAAAACAGATTTCTCGTCTGCATTATA